ATATAATATTATCTCACTGTTGATGAGATCAACCAAACCAAACAGTCACGACCGCTCTTTAAATGACACGTTCACCCGGTTGTTAAAACACTGATGATCATTTAAAGGTGAGAATGAAATCAGCAGAATCTCCTCGTGTTAAACAAAAACAGTGTTAAAGAGAGAATCTGTCGAACTCGTTCACTGTCGTGTTCCTAAAGAAGCCATGACCTCCTGTGACGAGCAGCTCGTTAAGGAAGAATCACTGTGACATCATCTTAAAACCAGCTTCAGTGTAGCTCCTCCACCTCCACTTCTTTATAACATTATAAACACATCCTTCAAACTGCTGTTTTCCCAGAAGCCTTCAAAGCAGCTGCAGTAAAACCATGAAGAACCTGAACCGTGGCAGAGATGCATGGAGCAGCTACAGGAACTTCAGTGGTCAGATACTTGAAAAACTGGTTTGTTCCTAAAAGAGAAGAACTTCCTGCAGGAGTTTCAGGCTTTCGAGCTCATCACTGAAGAATCACTGCAGATTAAACTCTGAAGCTTTTAACTGTAATCCTCTGGGACCTGAGCTTTTGATGAGATGGATCATAACTATAAGTGATAAATATCATCTGGACACAGATTTGTTGTGTTGATCAACCTCATACTGACGATTCCACCACAGTAAAGTTTCAGACTCATCATGAAGGTGAATTAAAAACTGACTTCTGCTTCTCTCTCTCCTGGTTTTCTTATTTTCAGCAGGTCAGTGAAGCTGCAGTGTGATGGCGTCGCCCTGTGGTCAGAGAGAGGAGGTGCAACTCAGATCAGAGTCAGCTGCCAGGAAGTCCACATTCAGGGAGGGAAACTTCAAAATAAAAAAAGAGACCAGTACCCTGTCTCCCTGTCTCTCTGTCCTCCCGTCTCCAGTCCCTGTCCACAGCTGTCAATCAAACCAGTGGTGGGCGAGGCTTAACGTTGGATGCCATGCTGACGTCTGATTGGTACGGAGCCCGTCTGGTGACATGGGTGGGAAAAAAAATTCCGTGGCCACGAATTAATAACGCGTGGGAACGAGATCCTATCCCTCGGCCATGACTTGCTCAAGCCTAACCCTTAGCATATTGTTTACGTTTGAGCTTTGTGAGCAGCTGAATGAAGTGTCTCTTGCTCAGAATGACTCCATGTTTAACCACAAGTGATTTCAGGATATCGTAACGCGGAGACAGGGCGTGATGTCTTCAGGACATTTATTTTCGTTCTTTGTATCACAAACAAACTTTGTGAACTCCCGCACACAGACACGTGTCTCCGTTCCACACACACACACACAGGCCCTGCCACACCCACCAATCAAGGGCGCGCATACTCAGCATTTTCAACATGCACTTCCCTGATTGGCCGAGACACAGCCCGTCCAGCAGGGTCGTTACACTATCATTATAATTCATCCCTAGATTCAAATAAAACCAAATCACATCAAACTTGTCCATGTTTGCAGCTGAAGCTACTGATGCCAGAAAGTCAAACGTCTCACCGATGAAATGAAAACATTTCTCGTGGCCACATCTTATTAATTCGTGGTCACCTAATAATCATCTCGTTCCCGCGCATTCAACAAGTCGTGGCCACGGAATAATATTTTCCACCCATGAACCAGACGGGCTCCGTATGATTGGTTCTTTAAACGCGAGAAACTCTACACACACGTTTGTACTTCTATCTTAGTGAGAACCTTAACCTAACCTTAACCTTAACCTTAACCTTAACCTAACCTAACCTAACCTAACCTAACCTAACCTAACCTAACCTAACCTAACCTAACCTTAACCTTAACCTAACCTTAACCTTAACCTTAACCTTAACCTAACCTTAACCTTAACCTAACCTAACCTAACCTAACCTTAACCTTAACCTTAACCTTAACCTTAACCTTAACCTAACCTTAACCTAACCTTAACCTTAACCTAACCTTAACCTTAACCTAACCTAACCTTAACCTAACCTTAACCTTAACCTAACCTTAACCTAACCTTAACCTAACCTTAACCTTAACCTAACCTAACCTTAACCTAACCTTAACCTAACCTAACCTTAACCTTAACCTAACCTAACCTTAACCTTAACCTTAACCTTAACCTAACCTTAACCTAAGCCTGAATCAAGTCTTAACCCTCTAACAGTCCATTCAAAGTGAGGACCAGTGAACATAGAGTCTGTTTAAAATGGTCCTCACATAGTCATGAGTACAGGAACACACACACACACACACACACACACACACACACACACACACACACACACACACACTTCCTCTCCTCTCGGACTTCCTCCTCCTCATTAACCCCCCCCACACACACACACACACACACTCACACACACACCCAGTGTCACTCTGACACACGCAGCAGGACTGAGTGGAGCTGTGAGTCCGGAGAGGACTGATGGTGAGTGTTCGATTGATTGATCCGTATGTGTGTGTGTGTGTGTGTGTGTGTGTGTGCAAAACTTTCAGCAGGTTATTGATCTTATTGGATCAGCTGATCAATCTTGAGCGTGTGTCACTTCATAAACTCTTTTCAGTTGATGATATAAAGTGAAACAGAATCAATGTGTTTGAATATATATAAAAACTACAGGGATGTAAAACTGAAGGGAACACAACAT